AAGACAAATTGCTAGAACTTCCCGTACAGTAATTAAAAATCGTGGCACTGAACCCAAAAAAAAAAAAATTACACAAAATGTGTACACATTATTGAAATCTCTATAAAATATCTGATAATTTGATGTACATACGTCCAATAAACATTTTTGATTGCCAAATGACATTTTTTTAACTTATTTTTATTGAGAGTCCATAACCGCTGGGTATGCCTTCCCAAAAATTTAAATTTGTTCAACTTGTAAATACAAGTAAAATTCCTTACAAATTAATGTAAAGTTAATTCCTTAAATTTTGTTTTCCATAATTCTGAAGATATAAGTTCGGTAATTACCATTTCAAAATCATCAACATTCATACACTCGAAAAAATCAAACGGTATTTATTTTATTTATTTATTTATTTATTCATAAGCGAGCCGTAATCAATAATAATAGATATTATTTCAGGCTCTCGTCAAGCTTATTCATAGTTAATATTAAAAGGATAGTAATTTTATAAATAATCATAGTAGCTGCACGAATTTCGCTTCTGAAAAAAAAGAGCAGAAAAAAAGCATTTGAACTTTAAATAAAAAGTTCATCATCATCAAGTTCATCATATTAAAGTCTATATGACCACAAGTCAAGCTCAAATTATTGATCGATCTATGAAATCTGGTTTTATGAGGAAGGAAAATATAGGCACATAAGCTTCAAAGTCTTTGCATCTGGAAAATTCATCTTTAAGTGCTTCAACGTAGGTTGAATTATATTAGTGAGCTATATTAGATAAATAATTATAATTGAACATTTTTTTCTTATTTAAAAATCCAAGCCTGGCACGCGTGCCATAGGTTGCCGATGCCTGATCTAGAAGACCGTAATATCTATCGCCAAAAAAAATTCATGAAACAATGATTCAAAAAATACGGGAAGTTAAAAAAAATACCAAATGTATGTAACATAAATTTGATCGAGAATCCCTTTGTCCCCCAAAAGAAAGCGTCCATGGTTCGCCCTCATTACAATGGAATTACATTCAGTGGGTATATATGTCATCTAAGATGTAAAATTGATTCAAACAAACTAATGCCCGTGTGGGTTCGCTCGCGCTCATTCATTTTTCTTCGCCCCGTGGGCCGCCCACGCTAACCCGTGCGACGCGAATGCTTGTACTGAAAACCCTGCGCAGTTATGTACGCCATCGTACAACCCCGATGGCTAAAAATACGCAGAGATTATTTATTTTTGCTCTTATTATTTCTATTTTTGGAGTCAGCGATATGTCTTGCTTGCTACGATAAGAATTGCCAACGGGCCTGCTATCTCAATTTAACGTTTTTCTCCGAAAATAGAAAACTTGGGAACTAATCTTCATATTAAACTGGATTTGCTACTTGTAATGTTCTCAAATGAGTAATGTTATTAATGGATTATGAAAATGCTATTAACCTGAGTTCATATAGTCGTCAATTACTTCGTGTTCATATGTTATATTAATTCTTATTATTGGAAATAGGTGGACGAGTGGAATAATATGTTTCACAATATATATACATATCCCCCGTTTCACACGTTTTCGATCTAACCCGTATTTTGAAAATATTTTTCAAACGAAATTTATTAATTTTGCATTTACACAAAATTAGTTATATACACTAAATTAGAATTTTCTTATATCAACAATACATTTGCATTATTTTACTGACAAAATATTTTAGTCAAAATACATCACTACAAAATGTATGTTACAGGTACGAATTGTTAGTGATCTATATCTTTGATGGAAATATGTAGATAAGATGGAAACTTCCCGTTTTATGATTAAAACTAAGTTTTGTGTATAAATCAGCTAGTTTGTTTGAAATATTAAAGCAAAGAACATCAATGTTTATTACTCTATATAATCACAAAATTTAATTTAATATATCAAAATTGAAAAGGCTTACTACTGGGTAACCTTTTACATCTAATGTTTAATACTTCATATATCATCAAAATTACTGAATGTCTTCCTTTTTGTAAAGACAGATTGTAATTCAATAAAGAGAACAAAAAAATCAATGTTTATAACTTTAATAGCGTAAATTTATTCAAGGTGGGAAAATAAGAGAATTATTTTTTTATAATTTTTTAAATGTGTTTAATATTAAATATATTAATTTTTATTTTTTGTTCAAAGTGTGTTATTTATTTTATTAAAAATTTATATTAAAGAAAGGGCTTTTTTTTAGTAGTTTTTGTTTAGCACGGTTTCGAGAACTTCTCGAGTTACACGATTTTTTATGGAATCTACCGTGTAAATGGGAGGCGTAGATGTATTGTATATATATATATATATATATATATATATATATATATATATATATATATATATATATATATATATATATATATATATATATATATATATATATATATATATATATATATATATATATATATATATATATATATATATATATATATATATATATATATATATGTGTAGTGCATGCACTGAATGTAAAAACAAAAATATTATATATATTATTCATTGTTTTACAATAATTTTCAAGAAAAAGTGTGGTGTCACAACTGACCCCGTTGATTTTTTATAGATCAATTCTATATCACATGCCAAAAATGACGGGTCTGCACAGTTCTGTTCATTGCGTCGACCTGCGGGACAGTAGCTATGATAATAAGATTTACTTATCCAATCGAGACAAAAAAAATTAATATCGTTAATGATCCTATTGAAAAACGCCTGTAACTGGTAGTTACTCATGTTACAGATAGCCCCTATATTTACATATTCAAATTAACATATATTACATGAGTTATTAACAAATAGAGATACATACACAAAGATTTGAAAACACAACCCTATGGTGCAACAGGTTATGTTGATATACATGTATCCTTGTACAACAAAGCCACAAAATTGTTTCCGCGCAAAACTAGTGATGCATGGCATCATTTCTTAAGGCAAATGACTGGAACTTTCTATACCAGAAATAAAATTTTTCAAAAAGCTATCACTTTTTTGAAAAAAAAAATGTTTTTATTTGAAAAATTGTTATTTTTAATATTTAAATTTTTTGAATTTTTTTTTTCAAAGCAATCGAGCTGATTAACTGTTTTAGAGATGAAATATCGAACCGCGTAAGCGCCGCGTTGCAGTCTAACGGATAAACATCCATACGAAACCCATTGAAATATGAACACAATTTGTACTCATTATTAAAATCTTTACAAAATATCTGATCATTTGATGTGCATATGTCTGAAATGATTTTTGACTGCCAGAAGTTATTATTATTTTTTTGTTGGATCTCCGAAACCGCTTACTCCGTCAATACAAATAAAAGTTTCGTGCTCTCAAAAAGTTTTTTTTTATTCATTCCATATTATGTCACAATCAGAGCTATTCACAGACCCTATGAGTTATATGGCTAAATTACACATAATAATAGAAAAAAAACTGGTTGGTTTGGTATTTAGCCTTGAGGCATGTTGCACGAACTTCGATATGTGTGAATAATCGACTTAATCAATAAAAAATAAATTAATTTATGAGTCATTAGAAGTATTCCGAGTGGATTTATTACACATAATTGAACACGAACGAACACTTTGACTCGGAGTATTTTCTAAAAGCAAATTTTCAAAAATCAACAACTATTATAATTGAACCAGTTTCCATAGGACTTTAATATCTCAGTATGTTCATTAAATCCAAGAACTCTATCGTTATACCAAGTAAATCGTCTATTTTTAATTTTAACAAATGTCAAAAAAACTACTCATTTTCTTAAAATTTGGTGAATTTCTAAAATTAAACTACTTGAAAGGGCGTAATATTTCAATAAGTTGTATAAGACATTGATATATATCGCCAAAAAAAGTTCCATATAAATCGGCTTCAATTTTTGTTTCAAAAGTTAATTACAAGAAAACGGCTCGGTAGATTTTCACCTGATACTAATCAGTATCATTCCCAACTAATATCTTTCGAACAGTTTTTGATTTTTTAAAATTCGGAAGAATGAGCTTAAATGTGAACGAAAAGTTTAACACTTGTACCAAATTACAAAGAAACGGCTCGGCCGATTGTCGCACAAAACCGAGAATCGATAATCCTCATCGAGATACATAAACGGTTTTTAAATTTTTGAAATCGGTTCAGGCGTTTTTGAGCAAACGTCGATGAAAGTTCTAATTTTGACAAATGCCAAAAAGACCATACTAATTTTTGCAAACTTTGACGAATTTTTAAAGCTAAACGAGTTGTCGTAGGGCCGTAATATTTTAGTATGATCTAGAAGACTATGGTATCTACCGCCAAAAAAATAATCATAAAAATCGTCGAATTTTTTTTTTAAACTTTACTACAAGAAAACGGCCAGGCCGATCTCTACCAAAAACTAATCAGCACGATTCCCAACCAATATCTTTCGAACGGTTTTTGAATTTTCAAAATCGATTCAGAATTGCCAGCTAAAACGTAGACGAAAAATTTTTCACTTTTCTGCGATTTATAAAGAAACGGCTTGGCCGATCGTCGTACAAAATTGACAAACAATAGTCCTCATGGAGATACATCGAATGGTTTTTAAATTTTTGAAATCGGTTCAGCCGTTTTTGAGAAAACGTCGATTTACGGCAAAAAATCTGTTCACACACACACACACACACATACTCTTTCCAAATTTGGTTTCATTCGATTCAGAATGGCTTGAAACGTCGAGAAAACATAAAATTAGCGATTCGAATTTTTTGATGAAAACCTTCGGGAAGTTAAAAATAATTCTCCTTCGGGAAGTTAACAAATTGTAGTAATTGCTCCAATAAGCAATTGACTATGAAAAATAATTTTTATTTTACATTAAGTCTATAGGCAGTTTTTTGTTTAGATTTATCATAGACGGATTATCAATCAGATGAGCCATTGTTGCATTAAGATGATCGTAAATTTTTGTAATAATTAAAAAACGTGCAATATGTAATAATATATTCCTTATTTTTTCCGCTTGCAGTTATGTCGTGCAGTGTGGGCGAGCTGCCGTCCGGGTGCCGGCTACGCGGCTCGTCCTCCGCGTCAGCGCACGCCGGCACGACGGTGGGCATACCGCCGGTCGTGGCGGTCGTAAGTGACGGAGGATCGAATACTGCATCGATCGCATCGCACGGCGGTAACGCGACCAGCGGCGGCAGACGGGCGCCCAACGGAAGGCCATGCTGTCTGTGCTGGTGCTGTTGCTGCAGCTGTTCCTGGTTAGTTACAATTGTTATTGTGTTAATGTTATGTGTGCATATATATATATATATATATATATATATATATATATATATATATATCAATTAAAAAATTTGTATGACTTTAAATTTTTATTTTTTCCATACGTTTCGACACATAGTTTTGTGTCATCTTCAGTGGACTATGTAATTGTAATAATCCTAATTATTTTCTAATTATAATTGTTCACAATGCACAATGAAACCAATTCTTGTCACTTTAAATTTAACAATAATAAATTTTTTGAGTGAGTTATTTTATGAATTTGTAAAATACATCCCGCTATTCTGTATTCCGATGCAAGAGTGAACTATATATATATATATATATATATATATATATATATATATATATATCTTATATATAAAAACGGAGCTCTCTTTCAAATGTCCAAGTTGAACTCGAAAACGGCTGAATCGATTTGGCCAGTCTTAGTCTTGAAAAATTCGTGCCAATCCAGAGAAAGTCCAAAAGGTGAGAAATAATTTCAAATCCGCGTAGAAACTTTACATTTTTAATTTGAAAATTTTTGTAGAAGCGTAATTTAAATAAAACAATGGACGGTGGCAATTACGTGAAATGTCAAACGCCTCTGACAGGTGATGTTCAATTACGTTTAATAGGATGTTTTACGCGAATATTATTTAATTATGATGAATTTGTAGTAAGTAGTTTTGTTTGTAGTTTTATTTATATACAAAAACGTTAGTAAACGGGCCGCAAGTATTACTAGAGACTCAAAATATAAACTTTTTTGATATGTTAATATGAAAATGCACTTTTTGGCATTTTTTTCTCAAACACGGTACTCTGAAAGATCTTATTTGTATAATTATATGCTCATTGGTATTTATAAAACATTTTCTAGACTATATTATTTTTTATTTATGTTATTTAAATTCAGAACCTAAATTTGGTATAGATCAAATGGACATTTTGTCGAATAACATTTTTCCAGTTATTTCCCAAAATTTATCGCAGAATAGATAGTAATATATGAAGGTCCGGGGTGAAAAAGGTCCACCACCGATTTGTCAAAAATCAGTAAAGTTAAGCATTGTTTAACAACAATATTTGAAAGTAGAGAAAAAAGGATGTATAACCAGCTATAACCTTGATTTGAGAACGGTAATCTTTGAAATGGGGGAGATAAACGGTAATCTGTGAAAATCCATAATACAAGTATTTTTTCTTCCGTTGTTAGTTTTTTAGCATTAGTTAAAAATGTAATTATTTTGTAAAATACCTTCAAAATTATAATAAGGCTTTAAACCTGTTTTCCACCTGGCCGTTTCAAGTTACCCCGCCTATAAGGTAAAAAGGTCTAGATAACAAATTTTTGAAAGACATCAAAAAAGCACATTTCTACAATGATGAAGTAGAAGGCAATTTACTGAACTCAGATAATTATTCGTTCGAAATGTGTCCTTTGTTGTGATATAATTGTTATGGTTTTCACAATATAGTTAATATTTGCTCAAAGTCAAATTGGAATTTTGTGCCTCGCCCTGCTCTACATATATACTTTTTATTAAATTTACTTTAACTCATCGAATGTTACTTGAAACTTTTCAAAAAGCAGGTCAAAGAAATACTTAATTCATTTTTTATCTCTCCTCGCAAAAATTTGAAAATTTTGTATAAGCTCAGTAGTATTATTTACAATTATACACAAAATCCAGAATCCAAAAAGAATCTGAAAGACTTGAAACGTAATCAATAAGTCGAAAGACCAAAAAAGACTTGGATTGAAAACATTACCATGTAATATTTTTGATTCTCTAGAAATGGTTTAGAATATACCTTATTTAGCAAAACAACGTTTGCCGGGTCAGCTAGTTAGAAATAAAAATGACACATTAAAATTTAATATAAAATAAAATTGACATAGGGTAGGGCGGGGCAGAAAGGTCCAATTTGACTTTCAGTAATTATACTGTCTAAACCCAATAAACAACCTTGTAACACATCACACACATCAAACAAGCAACTATCGAACTATGTACAGAAAAAAATTCACATAATTCCTAATTATATAAATATTGTCTTTTTTACTATTTTCTTAAATTTGGTATCTGATCCATTTTACCTCACATACGGGATAAAGTGGGACAACCAGGGGGCAAAAAGATGCAATTTCTTCTATTAAACTTTGAAGGGATTTTACGCTACATTATTGAACCAATGCAAAATATTAATTCTGTGGGTACATTTGTTACAAAGATAACACAGTATATTACATTGATCTGATATTGGTCAGAAATATTCATCAGACGAGCCGGAATAATAATTTATTTAATTACTCTCTTGTAAAATTGCTTTTTTTTTAAACTTTACTATTTTATTGCTTATACCTTTGACAAAGTAAAGGTTCTGCTGGTCCTTTTTATTCCACTCATGTGCTGCTTATCTTCTGATAGCAAAGTCATAAGAATAAAGGTGATGGCAGGTTATGAATTTATACATTTTTTGCCCTCTATTATCAAATATTTTTGTTAAAAAAATCTAATTTTATTTGTTTACGAGATATCCGTGGTAGACCATTAATAATTGGTCTACCCTACCCATAAACATACAAATGTGATTTTTAATGTAAGTAATCAGTAATTTTGGATTGATTTCTTTACATAATTTTATTGTAAAAACAGTCCCTAGTCCTATTGTGCAAAAAAGACATAGCAATTGCTTTCGTAGATTTGGCCTTATCATGTAAAATCATGTCGGTCATTATAATTGGACATAATTTTTTGCAAAAATGGGTTATTATAAGCAACATGTCAATATAAGCGATGTCAATATATCCGACTAGACAGTATATGAAAACCAAACTTCCTAGTGCGATTACGTCATAATAAGCGGTTGTCAATGTATCCGGCGTCATACTAATCGGATTCTATTGTATATATGTATATTTTATATATATATATATATATATATATATATATATATATATATATGTTGTCAAATAATATATGGAATACCCAAAATTGGCGAATATGCTCCTCAATGCACTCTGCCTCTATAAAATTGTCACTTCTCTACAAGTATATTTATTAATCACAGCTAATAGGTCTCAGTCTCAAATATCCACTAACGCATGTAAATGTAGGTTCGTCGAATTTATAATTGAATAAACACTTTACGGTCATATATTCGTTTTCAGTTATTAGGAAGCAATATCAACTATTTAATTAAATAGAATTTTGTTCTTTTACATGCAAGAATTTTATGTACGACTTTATAAAAGTGCTTGCATCTTGGTCTTGCGTCTTGGTTGAGTAGTATTTTAAGGTACGACAGATGTCGCTAGTGGTCGGCGTTGTAACTCGCCTCGCGCAATGCTGCTTGTGCTTTACAGTATATAAGGAAGATAAACATTTGTTCTGTCGGGTGTTGCCTGGTTCGGTGCTTATTCCAATTTACGTATTTCTCAGCATTAAATTCTTCATCATTGAAATTTAATTGAATATTGCTTGAATCAAGCGCAATGCTCTTTTATCAATTTAAGGTCAGAAGTATGAATATGACTCCGTAACCTATATATTGTAAATTGCTTATGTTATATATTAACGGTGGCAGCCAAAAGAAACGTATATTTTTGCCATTTATTTTTGGCCGGAAGAAAAAGTAATAAAATCATGATATTGAAGATAGTTATTTATTGTTTAAAGTAACAAAATAAAATATAATTCTAAAAAAAATTAAAAACGGTGGTACCACAGCCATTTCGGCGAGTCGCGGTAAATCCGCGGCACGCAAAATAACTACAACAATTTTAATTTTTTTTTCATTAGATTTTTCAATAGCATATTTTTAAATTAACATTTCAAAGCGATCATTATAGCGGATTTAGAAAATATCGATATTCATTCAAAATCGTTGAATTTAAAAAAAAAAAAAACGGATAGTAATTTGTTAGTAATTCATGGACAAATTTACATTTAGAAAATCCGCTATGATGGGCACTAAAAAATGTAATTTTAAATATCTTGTGAAATATTCCAATAAAAAAAATTTAAATTGTTGTAGTTGCTTTGCGTGCCGCGTTAAAAATCGCGTTTCCAGAAAACCGCCTTTAAAGTTTTGTAATGAATAATAGATGATAAAAAAAAGCTCAGTTTAATTATTTTTCTATTAATCTAATATTTCAGCAACATACAGATACCATTTTATATTTTTCCCCTATTTTCTTTCCTTGATGATTTTAAGCCAGAGCGTCCTACTTTTCAGAGCGCATCCGTCAAAGACCGTTTGGCATGCTTAAGCCTTTTATAATGGATTTGAAGACAAAAATTACATGTTTAGATACCAATATTAATCTCAATATCATTTATGAAATATTGATTAGACCATCGTTGAAATTATCCCCAGCAATGTCAGCCGCAATAAAGTCAATGTATGTGTTGACTCGCCACATGATCATCTGTTGGTTAAAAATGCTTTTACAGTATATTTATACAATATAAATACTTTATAATAACATATGTTTGTATATTCAAGAAGATACATGTTGTCATGTTGCTTTATTATGTTTTTTTGTTAATATATTTGAGCGGTGTCGGTTCGGAGCAGTCCGACGCGCATGGAAAAAAAGCTCATAATTACATGTAAAAAAGAAAGTTTTAAGTATAAAATAATTTAACTTCATATTCTAAAAGGTTCAAAGTATATTTTAAACCTGAATTTTTTTTGTTTTTCGAAAAATCTACAGTGGTGTAACCCCTTAACGTGGCGCTCTCATCGAACAGTGCGCATAATTGTGCGTCGTGCGATTCGAGCTCATGACTAATATATTTGTCATTATTATTTTTTTTTTCATATATTCGTCGTCCATGTAAGTCCCGTTATCTGAGATATCGGATGCAAAACTTTTTTCACAAAATTGAATATTTTATTACAACATTTCATTTCTTTATTTACATAAACATGCATTACATAGGTATTAAACTAGGAACGAATTAAACTCTATTTTATGATT